TCTCTTTCTTAATTCAATCAGTACTGTTTTTGTTCCTCATTAATATTGATTGTTAGTGCAGCATTCCTATTTTTTAGCTATTTCTATTTATGTTCTTAATGAATTTTTACGTCACGCAAATTTTTTTTATTGTTTTTTGCATTCTTCCTCTCACATTGATTTATATTCTGTTAGATTTTTTTGTATGATTTTGCTTTGTTTGATTTCATCTGTATAAAGCTTCTCAGTAAAATTTAGCATTAGAGCATCAGAGTTCTTTAGATAAAATTGTCAATTATTTTCCTACAATCTACTCTTAGTTTTCCATCCTTCGTGTCTCAAGATCATACAGCGTTTCTTATTGTTTTTCCTTGTCCAATTGCTTTTCCTCTGTTGTTTACATTTCTATTCCTTCTACTTGTATTTTGCAATAACTAGTAATTATTTTGTTCGTTTAGCAATCACAATCAGCGGTAATGTTATAAAGTTAAAGCACATTGCAACCGATCTGGTTGGCAGTTATATTCATATTCTTGATTATCCGGACCCTCTACTATCTGGACTATTAATTTTCGTCCATTCCCACGAATCTGAATAATCAAGGTTCAACTGTATTGTTATTATTCAATATCCACTCTTACCAAACGTAACATAATTTTATCCAGTAAACATACTAGTCTTGTATTTGATGGCTATTGTCATCAGGCACTGAGTGACTCAGACTATGGTGTTGCAGTCAAGGCTGTCAAACTCAGACGAAAGGTTGAAATGTATCAGTGGGTGGAGCATAAACATACCAGGTATTTTTACTGATCAAAATAAACTCTTACACTCCGAAGATTTGATCTTTTTTGTGATTCCTTGTTTTAGCTGCTGCACTTTTGCTTGTAAATGAGTTGTTTTAAAAAAAACTGGTTTTGTAATGTATGTAGAAGGTGAAGATGATAAAGAGCTGATAATTAAGTTTTCTATCAAATTTATCACCCTTTGTTCAGACTCATATATCTCAAAATTGTGTAGAGTAATAATTAGTCTGATTTGACACTCCTGAGTTAATATCTTATTTATTATTTTAAATAGCAAGTTATTGGTTTTTTTTTCCTTGTTCTCTTCAGACCACCGTAAATATGCACTGACAGGTAATGTAGAACTGCAACATAAGGAATAATGTCAAGTCATGATTGTAATTTCAGGGAATATGACGAAGGAGAACGAAAAAGAGTAGAAACCACCTTTTCATACAGTGAGTTTGCATGTTTGTCAGGTCTTCTTTATCTTAAAAGAGGTTAAAACTTTAAGTGATAAATTTAGACAAATTCAACTGAAATTTTGTAGTGGTAGATACTTACTGGTAGATACAATTTTTTTCCCACTCACTTGACTTTTATTATATGAATCTTACAAATGTAGAGAGAAAAATGGAACATTTTGAGGGAACAGGCCTTCAACAAGTTGAAAAGCTGGCTATCCTCCTATTTTTTTCCCTTATGGTCTCCTGGTCCACCCTATGTAAATCTCAAGCAATTGGGATTACTATCTTACTAGTTCCCATACATGCCTAAGGATGAAGATAATTCACCTGTGAAACCACAGGGTCTTTACCCAGGAACAGTGTACAGTAACTTGACTATTGCTTGAATCTGAACCTCTAAAGCTTGATTTAGACAAATCAATGGTATTTCCAAAGCTAATATATTATATTTTATACACAAACTTTTAATTGAATGTCTGTGAGACAAATGACAAGGGGCCTGTTTCTCAAGAGTCCCATTAACTTAATGGGCCCGTAAAGCTGTTCTGTTGTTCTGTTTTCATTGAAGATGGGGATTTCAAAAGTTTTGAAAATGATACAATAAAACTATCAGCCAAAGAAACTAAGTTTGGGTGCCAGAACCTGTTTCCTAACCTTTAAATTTTTATTTTAAAACAGGGCTTCAGGTCTGTTAAGTTATCGAGACTTTCAAGAAACGGGCCCCTGAAGTCTTATATGTGCTCCCTATACAGGGGCGTAGCCAGGATTTTTCAAAGGGGGGATCACAGAGGCTACTCACCGTTTACACCGCTACTCCCCTGCATGTATCAGCGGGCTCAGTCGTATTATCGCGGCATGAAGGCCCATATTAACTAAATACAAGAGCCATCGACAAAAATACTTTACAAAAAAAACNAAGTCAAGGGCATAATTCGACAATATTCACCAAACCTGAGGCGAATAACTGTTTTAGTATAATTTCAGAGCTGAACAGCAGAGAAATTTCTAAAATCATAACACTTAAGTAACATTTATTAACATTTTATTTTAACATTTTATATAAACCACGTGGAGCGGTTTATATAGTGTCATATAAGGGACCACTCGACCAATCAGATTGCTGGAAACTCTTTGCTCAGCTCTGAAATTATACTAAGGAGAAGTTACTTGTTGATCACTTCTGGGAGTTCTGGTTAAAAGCAAAGTAGATTCTCACAGGCTTAATTAAATTTATAAAAACAAATAAAAGTAAAAAAGTTATTTTATTTAGTTTATTTGGATGAATTGACTTTTCCAAAGCTGTCAACTTGTGTATCTTTCCATGGCTAGGATATAGGTAATTTTGTGTCACAGCTGGAATCAGACATTGAGAAATTTGACAACAAAGAATTGGTGGCAGAGATAAGAAGAACTAATAACTTACTAGGTATGTTCAGTGCAAGTTTGGAAGACACAGTATCCCAACAGTCACGATGCTAGTCTCTCAAGGCCTGGCCAATCATTCTTTTATGTTCTTGAGAAAGACACTTTATCCTCACAGTCCCCGCTCACCTCACCTAGGGTGCCAGGGTGTTCAAAAGGTGAATAGTGGTAAGCTTAGTCATGTTTTGAATGAAAGGGGCCAGAATTAGAAATGCGAACCAGCATTGAGATCTTTGAGGAAAGACTGGGAGGTAACACAGTGATGGACCAGTATCGCATTCAAGGGGTAAAATTAATGCTGCTAGTCACTTCATGCCATGATAGCAAATCTTGCATCTGTTTCCCTTTTTATTTTTCTGGTAACCAGGTAGTGCCAACTTGAAAAATACAGGCAAGGACAAGGAGATCAAAGAAAACACAGGTGTGGGGCCCAGATTTTTATCCTTGTTATGTTTTATTTACCTTTGCTAGTGCTGTGGCACCATTTGCTGAAAGATAGAAAATGCCTGATCTTTAAGGTTGGCCAGTTGTGTTGTTATGGAGTATTATCATTTGTCTCAATGAGGATTGTCACATTTTGACTTCATACAGGGGCGTAGCCAAGATTTTTTAAAGGGGGGGGGTCACAGAGGCTACTCACCATTTATACTGCTGCTGTCCCGCATGTATCAGCGGGCTCAGTCGTATTATCGCGGCATGAAGGCCCATATTAACTAAATACAAGAGCCGTTTACAAAAATACTTTACAAAAAAAACAAATTTTAAAAAAGTGGGCTTTTCAAAAATGGCTTTTACGGCCAAGATAATTGTCGTGGCGTTTTCGCCATCTGAGTATTGAAGGTTGTTTGCTCTAAAAAAGGCCTACTAAGGGGGGTCACGGGCACCCCAGGACCCCCCCTGGCTACGCCCTTGCAATGTCTTAATTTCTTGCAGCCACTGAGTGGAGAGACACCATTATTAGGAGTGATGGCTTTGATAACCCTGCTGGGCATCAGAATCCAAACAGTATGCCAGTACAGTCATACATCAAGGAGGCAGACTCTGTGAGAGTTGGAGCATTCAGTCTGTCCAGAGGTATGCTGGGAAACAGGGTCAGTTACTGACCACAGGGGAGAGGCAAGATTTGTAAATCAGGGGACTGACTTTTTTATCTTTTGGTTGTTAGGACTTATTGGAAAAATAGATGTATTCCAACCGTTAAGTCCCCGAGAAGTTCCTCATGGAAAGATGATTTCTATTCATAACGGGATGTTTTATCATACTATGGACCAATTTCATCCTAAAGTAAGTTGATTTGTGGTTAAGTCTCATAATGGTCAGTTGTGTTAGGCCATTGTAAGTCTGTTGGGACTGAACTATCAGAGCAATTTAGGTAACCAATCACAACTGATAACAGCTGCTTAAGATGTACAGCCAATAACCATCATTACAGGTAAGCTGACCAATTTGTTTTCACAACCTGGTTTTACAACATTATTTTGTATGAAAAACAACTCTTCATTTTACTTGTGTTCTTTCCCACTCAGGTTGTTGAAACGTTAGTCAGTGTCGCCTACGCTGAAAGTTCTTTTAAGAACTACATGTAGTAACTTTCATCCTGACACAATGGGAGCGTTTCTAGTGATCCTTTGAAATGACATTTTTAGAAATCACATAATTTGTGTATTGAATCAGGGTCAAAAGATACTTGATCCAAGGCAAAGTAAATTTACTGAGAGTTTTAAGGACAATTTTATATCTATTTTATCAACAGGTGGGAGATGTAAGAGTCCAGTTTTCTTATGCTGGGCTAAGTGGGAAGCCACACTCAGGTTTGGGAGATCCAATGAAGGTATCATTCTCTTATAATTCCCTTTTAATATGTATGAGTGCAGAAAGTAATGTTGGACGGACAGGACCAAGGGAAAGCACTACGTCTTAGCCTTGGCACCACTGGTCTCTCTTGCATGGAAATGGGCATAAAATAACAAAGTCCACCACCGTGTTTAGCATAGAGCAGAAGAGATGCATACTAGTTTTATACAAGGACGTAAAAGCTAGAACCACCTCCCACAGGACCCCATGAAAGTAGTCCTCAGTAGTCTTCCATTGAATAGTCATACTCTAGGGTTTCAAGGCTGTGGCATAGCAGCACCCAGTGGCCCCTGGCACCTTAATTTTTGCTCTTGGGTGACTCAGAAATTTTAGTTTTCTCATGAAAAGCATATGCCGGGCACCCTGGATTTCACAGTTTCAGAGTACTGGGCTCCATTCAATTTTCCTTAGAACACAGCCTTGTGTTAAACCCTTTGGAACCTTACATCAGCATGCATATTCTCCATACTGGTCTCTATACCTTTCCTAAAATGCTGACAAGGAGAATTTGCTTATCAGGCAAGACTTTCA